TGGTACAAAACAGAACCACGGATATTTTAATCACAGAATGATTTTCTCTTCCTTAGTGCAATCAGAATTCATTTTATCCATTTTACTCAAATTACCAGGAGTAAAGTAGTCCCATAAATAATCAGATAAATTTGTCTTTTTATTAATTTTTTATATGAAGGGTCTATTTACCCTTCACTAAGTGTCTTGGTCTTTGCTAGATAAGGGGAAAACAATACAAAAGCAAACCAGCCAAACAAATCCCAGAGAATTTTATATTTACACCAAAATAATTGCTGCAAATTTTTGAATAAAACAAAGTTTATACATAAATTAAAATGTCAGACTAGCTTGCTTTGATTTTTTGGCAGTTGAGAGTTTGGATACCAGAAATGGATGATCAGGAAAGATGTATAAGCTGACAAATTTACATGGATTTTACATAGGATATTTAAAAAAAAAAAAAAAATCCCTATCATTTCATCAGCACCAAAAAGCATTTCAGACCCACCTTGTGACATTCTGCAAAGATAGTTGCAACAAAAACATATTCACAAATCGCAGGAATGCAATCAGCACCCACCACAGAGCAATTTTCTTAGACTTGCTTCTTTCTATTTTCTTTACAATACTCTGTGTATTTTAATTCTGTATACTATGCTCTTACTGTACATTTATGTGCACAAACACAAAAGATGGATCTTTCTTATCTCCTCTCTAAGGAAATCTAATTTTCCTTTTATTTGAGAGAATGCTCAAGATTCACGGCTAGAACACAAGAGCAACTTCCCTGCAGGCACCATGGAACCAACCCCCAGAAATTCCTCTCATTTGAGACCCCTGCCAAACCAAAAAAAAAAAAAAGAGGAAAGACAATGACCAACCACTTCAACTGCGCCCCACGGTCAGAGATGAGCATTACTGAGCAGAACAAGGATGAGAGCAGGATGTTTTTCCTTCCTGGTAACTCGTGTGCGGCTGCAGGTTGGATTTCTGGCGCTTTAGTTATTGCTCACACAACAACGAGGTTTCTCCTGTTGCTCAAACCATCCTGCCAGCACAGCTGACCCCAAATGACCACAGGGATACCCCAGACCTTCTGGAGGTCATGCTGAGCAACAAAAGCTGGAGGAAGAAGGAAGAGATGGAGTTCAGAGCTTGGCAATTTTGATCCCTAGACACCATTCAATGTGCGGGAGCTTTGCTCTCCTGGGGATGCTGAACCTGCCTGGCCATGAGAAGATGAAAGAATTCTTTGCTGTGCTTTGCTTGTTTGTGCAGCTTTTGCTTTAGGCTGTCCTGATCCCAGCTCATGAATTTTCTCCCTTTTACCCTTGGAGTTTTCTACCAGTGGGGAGGAACAAGTGGATGAGGGGGGCTGAGCTGACCTCCAGGGATAAATCACAGCATGTGCTGCAGCTGTGTGCACAAGTGAGAGGATCCAGAAAAAGCCACAGTTTCCCACTGTGGGAATCCAGGGCTTCCCTCTGGCTGCCCTTGAAGGTCTGGGACCCTGGCAGGGGGTCAGGAACCCCCTGGACAGAGCCCCCAGAGACACTGTCTGGGATCTCTGTCCATGGAAAAGAGTTTTCAGTCTTACAGGATGAATTACCAGCTCTGAGTGTTTGATATAAGTAAGAATTAAGTGTGGCACGGGTGCAAAAGTAAAATTTTAGGATTCTAGATGAGGGGTCCAAAGGGGACAAGATGGAGGAAATTGGGTGTGTCTTGTCCTTTTTCTCCTTCTTCATGCCCTCCATGTTTCACTGTAGTGTTGGCATTTTTCTGTTGGTTTAGGCTGGGGACACACTGTTCAACGTAGGTGACAGATATTGGCACATTATTGTAAATCCAGCCCAGGGAGTTTCTGGTATTTAATGTTTGTAACATCCCACTGAGGGCAGAGCCCCACACGCTGCCCTGCAGGACAGAGCTGTGGCAGGGCAGCAGAACATGTTAGAGATAAACAGAATAAACAACCCTGAAACCAGCACAGACCAATTATGGCTTCTGCTTTGGCAGTGGGGCTGAAAGACAGAGACTTTGTACAGTCTTGGAATCATCAATACTTCAGATTCTGACATCCCACCCCATGGGATTCAGCAGGCAAGCTGCCACACCATATTAACACCCTAGCAGCTCAAGTCAGATGAGCTCAGATGAGTTTACACACACTCTGGAAACCAAAGCCAAAAAAAAGCTTGGATGACCTCAAAAGGAGGTGCTCAGACCACAGTGAATAATATTCATGAGGCTTGGCTGGCCCAGAACAAAACAGCACCAGTGAACCACAACTGTATGAAAGACAAATCAATTTGTTGGGAGCTACTCTGAAATAAGATATTTCCCTCCAGAGAAAGGTCACACCTTCAGAAACCTCTCCTCTGCCTCAGCAGTTACCCGGCAAATAATGAGGAATAACTCCTCAGTGCTGCCCCTCAGGGAGCAACATCCCCCATCACCTCTGAGGGAAAATAAAAGACTTGGGATAAGAAATTTGTAGGTGGACCTTGTAATCTTGAAATTGAGAGCCCTGGAAAGCAGCCGTCTGTCCTACCCAATAAGCATAAAAACGAAACAAAACAAAAAAAAATAAAAAACTCTTCCAGGAAATGGAGAGCAGAAATTTATGATAAATATTGTTTGGGATGAATAATTCACCCAGCTCTAATTATAAGTACAGGGCTCTGGAACATTATTGTTGAAGAGCATCCCATAAGCCTCTAATAACAGCTGAAAAAGAAGATAATATCTGGCATATTTAGTGCTAAATTACACATTAATAAAAACCATTATTGTATAGGTATTTTCCCATCTATTTGTTTGGGAGTTCTACAGTGTGTTTTATACACATGGAACTGGGAGACTTCCTAGTGATAAAATGTACCAGAAATGGGAAATTCAGACACTTTCTGGGAAGGTCACCTGTTTTCCCTGTTTTCCTGATTTAGAAAATATTTTTTTCTTATAAATAGAAGAGAAGATTCAGAAAGAAGGGATCCTAGAAATTAAACCCACAGTAAATACAGAGCAAGTAAAGGGCTAAAATGGAAAAAAAAAAAAAAATCAGCATTACCGTCCTTTCATATTTCAAAACTGTGAACAGCCATTAAGAAAATGCTGTACCAAAGTGGATTTTCTCCTCATTTCTACTCCTGTGGGTAGATCAGTGGAGAGTGCTGATTTTGGATGCCAGGGAAAATTATTGTGCCACCAAAAGTTCTAGGTTAAGATGTAAGATGGACCACAGGTCACAAAACCAAAACAGAAAAATTTCCTTCTTCTTTCCTAATACTAACAGTAATTTTCAATTATGAATATTCTTTTTTTAATAACTTCTTATAATAAATTTTAGTAACACTGGAATACAAAGAACTTCTATATTCTGCTTATGGGCTGATATTTTACTTTTTCCACTACTGCATTACAGGTGCACTGTGCCTGCTTTTTGTGGGGGAGGGATTTGCAGTTTTAGAAGTGAAGAGCTCAGATATCTTATTTTCTGATTTAACTGTGACTAATTGCAATGCAGAACAGATGCACCAATACTGCTTTGGATAGCAGCTTCACAAATACCACATATGGTTTTTTTATACTTTTAATTAGCACTTCCTTCCAGAATATATGTGATGAGATTATTTGAAATTGTGGAAGTCCCACAAGACCATGCAATATCATTCCATGCAAATGCCTTCTAACATGCCCCTCCATCTCCAAGGTGCAGAAAATACCTCAGAACCCTGCATTAGTGTGCAAAATGCCATTAAAAATATTCTCCATTGTGGGTCTCAAATTCAATCAAAGAGAGAAACAGAGAGTTTCTAGTCAGGCAGAAGCCTGGGAAAGAGTTGGAAAATAATGTAAATAATTCTTTATGTCTCTTGTTATTCACATTGTTTATAGTTAAGTTCTATCACTGTGCATCAAGCACTTTGCACCAATGCTCTGGGTTGTTTTCACTTCAGGACCAATGGAGTTGGTCCTTACGAAGCTCTGTATAAAAGCGCAGTATATTTTAAATAAACCAGAGTTTTACTCTCACAACCTTCTAAATCAAAGTCTTCTCATTCCCATCCTGCCTCAACAGCAACACTTCATTAAAGTGCATTGCCATTTGCCTGAGGATAAAACAGGCAGAGCAGCTCATTGGGCAGTTTGCCTGGGCTTTCTTAAATTTATTCAAGTCTTCAATTTTCCAGCTCCTTCATTGCTGATGAGGAGATCACAGCACATGCTGGGCTCCCAGGTGCTGGATGTGGTAGGTGTGTGCCAGTCTTCACCCAAACTTGTTTAGGTAGATCTAAATCTCTCCACCATGCCAAGGTACTCCATCCATTTGTAAAAAACCTTTGTGGCTACACTTCTGCCTTCAGACTGATACTTGGAACATTCTTGTGGCCTCCCACTCAGTTGGGGAATTAAAACATAATATATTAAGTAATTTCATAACAATTTTTCTAATTATTTTCTCCTGACTATCTTGGACATTGTCCCTTATCTTGCTCCCAGCTCAGTGGCAGCATTAACATTTACACTTTTCTCTGAGGGTGGATTCACATATGTTCTTTCCTGAACAGTTTCTGAGCTTGACAAAGTCTCATAAGCAACCAAATGCCATTTTGGATGGAGCAGAGTGAGCCAAAATACAATTCTCTTGAATATATGATGACATTTTTTTTCAGACTGAATGGAGCTGAGTTTCTTTTCTGCAGTATCCCAGGCAAAGAGGATGATAATCTTGATATCTAGAAGAATTGTTTAACCAAATCCCTCTTCACACACCAGTTGGAGTCATCCAAAACTCCTCTTCTTGCTGAACACAGCCCTTAAACCCAACTGTTGATTTCACTTATATTCATGTTATTATACAAAACTACCACTCACAGATGCTACCACATAAAATTGCAGACAAACAGAAACAGATGAATGTGTAGATAAATGCACAACACACATTTAGATATGGGGAAGAAGGAACAAAAATAAAACACAACACAAGCTGTGATCATCACCATGGAACTTACCTGAAAAATGGTGATATCAAAAAACTCTCCTGGGGAACATCTTGTCTGAGGTCTGCCATGGAAACTGAAGTATGGCTGTGCCATCAGAGTTCTGATCTTTTCCAAAAGCAGAGATATGACAGGCACTGCCACCCCCTGCCACTCATTGACAGGTTTGGGATGTATACTGATGGGGAAAATGCAAATATTGAGAAGTTTCATAATTTGTTTTCCTTGAGAAAAGAAAGTTATGTAAAATAACTGCTTGATGCTTGGCTTTTTTCCTGTCACTTCTCTTCAGCAACAGTACAAATAACTTCACACCTTTGTTCTGGGGGCCTGTTTTCCCTCTGACAAACACTGCAGATACATTTTTGAGGTGGTAATGTGACCCTTTTGTACAAAAATCATGTGATAAATGCAACTTGTTAAACCAACTTAATAAGGGAAATACAAGCAAGGTTAGTTTAGTTTAATATCATATTTTACATCTTGCCCAAAGAAGTCACAGAAGCCCCATATAAGGCAATATATTGGCAGCAAAGAATTCATTTCTGGACCAAGAGCTCTCAACTTTTCTCTTTCAGCTAATCCTACTCAAGTCCACAAGTGTAGAAAGAAGGATGGATGAATTTATTTCAGTACCTGGTATCAGAATTTGGCTATGCATATTGGTGAATGAGATCTAAAGGATAACTGCCCTGTGTGCTAATTGCCTTCATCAAAGCTGCCAGTTCTTTCAACCACAGAGAGTAGAGCCATTTAAATATTTCTTTTAGTGAATGGTTTGCTTTGCAGACACAGTGACATGAAGTGTATGTGTGCTGAGACAGCATTTTTAGATTAAAATGCTTTTCTCAAAATAGGCAATGAATATAAGATGCAAAAAAGTCAGAACTGTCCTACTTTTACACAGGGGTAGTGGAGCCATTGGCTTCCCAAGTTTCTGGCAATTTTTCCCCCCAAATTTAAAAAAATTGCTCTGAATGCTGATCAAATAGCTTACTAGCTTCTGCTTTTGTTTACAAAAGAAAATTGATCTAGGATAGCTCAAAGTGAAGTCACTCTAGAAACCCAGGAGCACCTGAACATGTTGAGCAGTAGAGAGAGCCCCTTATTTGTAGCAGCTCATAATGATTGGATGCCCAAATGCTGTTTGACCTCTGAATGGTCTGTAAATTCCCAAATTACAAATTTCTATAAATCAATCACCTGTTTTTGAAATTGTATTTTTGCTCCTGCTTATGCTTATGTCAGAGGAGGGCTGGGGCTGTCACCAAGTCACTGGTAAAGCCATCAGTGCTGCTAGGATTTGGTGTCACACTGCACCAGATGACTGTGGTGGTAAACAAAACAGCTTCACAACAATCCAGCAGGATAAAATTCAAATAAAACATCAGGCATTCCAACTTACCAGCCCTACAGCATTTTTCGGGGCAGTGTTCAAAACACTCCCTTTCCACCCCCAGCATTTTCCCTTTACAACCTGTTGAAATAACAATGTCTACAATTACAGGGTCATTTGTTATGCATGATATAATAGACTGCAAATATAAAAAGGCATTATCATTACTTTTGTCCTTTGTTCTTCCAGGCCAGAATATTGCATAGTTCTTTACTTTGACATTTATTGCTTTTAGATTGGTAATAGAATGGTTTGTGTTGCTCATTATCTTGAATGATGACAATATTAGAGTTTGGGGAGCCTGCGTTCCCTGTTAAGTAAAGTAAAGGCTTCATATAATTTACCAAAGGTTATTACTGGACAATTACCCACAATACAGTTCAAGTCTAATAAACGTTAGCCACATTCTCTCTTAAATACCACATCTGGAGTGTGGTTCCTAGGAAACTGCAGAAAATGATTTAAGGCATTTATGTACCTGGAAGGAGGAGGGGAGTTTATCTGTGCATATGCATCTACATGGCTTTTTATGGGTTTTTGGTGGTCACTAATTGATATGTGGGTTTGGTGTTTATTACTGGGTGTCCTTAGGGAAGGGAATTAATTGAAAGATATACCTAGCTGGGACTCTGAGACTAGAATGGAAGGGGAGGAGGGATAAAGTATAAGCTCAGTTTTCAACCTTAATATTGGGAATAATGGAGTAATTTCATATTTAAATTCCTAAAAATTATATCAGGTTTTGGCTTGAGACTTTACATAAGTTCTTATACAACAGCCTAAAGAATTAAATTTATCGGTCAGCAAGGCATGAAATTCAGAGCCTGATTCTATCCTTCCATCCCTTCTATCACTGACCATGGTCAGCATCTCCAGAGCAGCAGCAGGGCCCTGTTCTGGACACACTTCCTCACCTGCAGCCAGGGCTTGGCTCCATTCCTGGGGAGAGTGACTGAGGGTTTTCCACCTGGGAAACTTCCTGGGCTGGGATCCTTGACAATCCCCTCTGTGTCTGGGACTCTCAGATGTTTACATGAGTATAACACTCTGTACACAGGCACACACATGTATGCAAACAGCATTTTTTTCCCTGTCCCTTTTCTGTTTGCTACTCCAGTTTGCCTGCAGGCATTTATGTTCAATTTATGTTTATCAGTTCATTTCTCTAGCAGCTGCACTTTCAATGAAATGTTTTTATTTGGTGCCAAGTAATAGTAGCTGGAGTTATTTGCCCTATGAATCTTGGTAGATTAGTTTTTGTAATTTACATACATATCCAATTGCTACCAATTTTCACTGACAGTTTTCTCTTTGGACTTTTTTTCATTTCTATTTTTGAACTGTAACAGTTTCTGACGTACAGCTCTCTGCAAACTTTATGATATGCCCTGCATTATTATAGTTATCTAGTAATGCAAAAGTGAGAGAAAACCTTTAACTCAAAATGTTAAAACAGTCTGCAGAAAATGAAGTTAATGTTTCATGAAATAAATGTCATAATACAAAAAGACTGATTTTAATGGAAATTTGCTCAAAGCTTCGGATGTTTCTTTTCTGGCTGACACCAGTTACTATTCCTCACATGAATCACCAAGCCCAGAGTGATTAGGTAGCTGGTCCTCCCTAGGGCAATAAATAACTGTGGAACTCCCCAGATGTGCAGTTATGAAGGTGTGAGATGAGCCCGTGGGTGTGAGTGACACACCTGCAGTGGGTTTGCTCTCAAGAGGGAGCACACTGATGCCTGGGATTCCTGATGCTGTAAGAGCCAGAAAAACCCTAAAACCAGGATGATGCTCTTCCATGAAAGGCCGGAGCAGGTGTTGAGGGAGAGCAAAGAGAAGCACACAATTGCATCACTTGATACTGCAAAGGGTGGGCAGGTGCAGGCAGGAGGGGCACACCTGCAGCTTTGCTCAGTGTGGGCCCAACACAGACATCTCCCAGGGTGAGCGGAGGCTTTCCAGGAGCTGCTGTGGTGTGGGAATCCAGAGCTTCCCTCTGGCTGCCCTGGAACGTCAGGAACCCCCCTGGACAGAGCCCCCAGAGACACTGTCTGGGATCTCTGTCCGTGGGAAAGAGTTTTCAATCTTACAGGATGAATTACCAGCTCTGAGTGTTTGATATAAGTAAGAATTAAGTGTGGCATGGGTGCAAAAGTAAAATTTTAGGATTCTAGATGAGGGGTCCAAAGGGGACAAGATGGAGGAAATTGGGTGTGTCTTGTCCTTTTTCTCCTTCTTCATGCCCTCCATGTTTCACTGCGGTGTTGGCATTTTTCTGTTGGTTTAGGCTGGGGACACACTGTTCAACGTAGGTGACAGATATTGGCACATTATTGTAAATCCAGCCCAGGGAGTTTCTGGTATTTAATGTTTGTAACATCCCACTGAGGGCAGAGCCCCACACGCTGCCCTGCAGGACAGAGCTGGGCAGGGCAGCAGAACATGTTAGAGATAAACAGAATAAACAACCCTGAAACCAGCACAGACCAATTATGGCTTCTGCTTTGGCAGCGGGGCAGAAAGACAGAGACTTCCTACAATCTCGGAATCATCAATACCACAGATTCCAACACTGTGGGATTTCAGTGAGCACAGAAACTGCACAGACCTGTTCAGACTCAGTTCACCCCCTGGACACAGCAAGCCTGGCCCCCACCTCCCATCTTGTGCACAGCAACTGGATGTGATGCCTAAAGATTTCAGCTTTTACATGTGTCTCATAGCCCTGTAGACTATTAATATGTGGTTATGCAGCTTCTGGTATTTTTCCTACCCTTTCTGTTAGGTTTTAGAGAAATTAGCTAACCTTCCAACAGATTCCTGAAATGCCATTTAGTCTTATTTTCAAGAAGAGGGCCAACAAGAAGAACATTTTGTTTTCCAATCTGAGGGGAAATAACAAGAAATGGGGCAAAGAAGCCCTGGACCAACTCCAGTGAGAAAGTATCTGGGGGGAAAATTACCTAACTAACTGCTCTTCTAACTGGACAATGTTTGTTAGGTATGATAATTTGTTAAACTTGCAAAAATTGTAGAAATTTGATATCGAGTGTGCCCATAGCCCATAACTATGGATGCACCTGGGAGCTCCCAAGAAGCGCTTTTTTATCTTACCATTTTAATAATGTTGCAAGGGGCTTTATCTTTTGATATCAGGCAGGAGATACGTAACAAAATCTCAATGTGTTTGGTGTAGGGCTCAGCTTGGTGAGTGCAGCTCATGATGTCTGACAGGAGGGGACCTGCAAACAGAAGTTTTTGTTAAAATCTGGAAAGCATCAGGTGCTGGGTCCCTGGAGAAGGCACTAGGGACCTGCAAACAGAAGTTTTTGTTAAAATCTGGAAAGCATCAGGTGCTGGTTCCCTGGAGAAGGCACTAAAAATTGCCCTCAGAGTGTCCCTCCCAGACCTGCAATAACACAGAAGGAATTCCTGAGGATTTTCAACATAGCCTGAGCAACTTAGAGATACAAAATTAAATCAATCTGCTTGTTACTTCCACCTGTTTTCAAGACTTCAGCTTAATTTTAAAAAGCACAATGGGAGCATGCATAATGAACAGGTCGAGACTTTCAACTTTGCTTGTCCTCTGAGCTAGAAACTGGGAGTGAATTCCACTGCACAGCAAAGATAGAAGGTAGCAGGCAGCTTTAGACAGCTTTCCCACATGAGAAAAGAAATTAATTCCTCCAGGTCTGTGTATCTTGACAAAAAACAAAACAAAACAAAACAAAAAAAAAAAACAACCAAAACTATAAAACTTTTTTCACGTACTGTCATCTTTCAATAAATGAAAATAAAAAATTCAGAACAACTTGTGATCAAATCTAAGCAATAAAAAAAGGCAGCTACATTCTGATGAACAGTGTTGCATTCAAAAAAACAACAGGAACCTTCAGTTGTGGAATTTTACAATATAGCATGTTCTAAAGACACTTTTTTTTCCTTTCAATATTGAGGCAGGATACTCATAAAGCTGGGGAGACTGCTCAGAATCTTATAACTGAGCTGCACATAGGCTAGAATTCAGCCAGAAGAGAGAGCAGTAACTCCGCAGCCAAGCTCCAGTAGAAAAGACTCTAAATCAAGCAAGGGCAAGTACTATTGATGCTGCCTTCCCCCAGCTGGATACTGGTGATGAATGCATTCCAAATGCCAATAATCTCAACCTTTTTCAGCTTTGCATTGTATTATTGGCAAACACCTTGCTGCTCTTTGCCACCTCTCTGCCATTGGGTGCCTGCCCATCTGGGCTTGCAAGCATTTCTTTGTTTTCCCTTTCCACTGGCTGCTCTTATTTCCCCAACGCCCAGGCAAACGTGGCAAGCTTCTCAAATTAAAGTGACCTTGATGCCTAAATATATTTTCTTGGTCTTGTTCAGCCCTTTTTAAATTAAACTTCTACTGGTAGGTATGTTTATGCCAGTTTTTATTAATTCATTTATCATGCAGCAGCTCCCAAAACATAGGGAAATTCTCTTTGATCTTTGTTTGTGCCATTTACACTTCCACATCCCCTGATTAAATCTTTTAAAGGTTTCACCAGCACTGTGCACCTCAGATACAGGAGTTTCTTGCTTTAGGTACCAAAGTAAAGTTTTGAATTTGTTCCTCTATTCCTGCAAACACAATTTCTAGTGCCATTCTTGTCCTTAGATCATTAATATGGTTTAGAACAGCAGAGAGATCAGTTCAGTTCCTCTCTTTTCCTGGGAGAATCTGAACCTACACTTCTGCCAGGACACAGAATGGAACTAACCTGTTACAATTGCCCTGATTTTAGTGCTGTCCTTTTCAGCTACAAACAACAGAAAATTTCAATTTTCTCTGGTTGAATTAATTATATTCCTTTTTTTAAAAGTGGCATAAGAAATTCAATCTTTAGGCTTTTTTGATACACAGCATCAGTCAAGATACTTGAAACAACACTGAGCACCATAATAAATCCCACACCTTTACCACTACAAACAAATCACAGCAGCAGCTTCAATTTGCTATGGAATAAATATATTTCTATTTAATACACATCCCTCTCCTGCCTACAAACCCTGCAGGAACACAGCTGCAAAGGAGCACCTGCTCTGCTGGCTACAGGAGCTCAGTTTTCTTGTGGGAAGGAGCTTGACAGATATGCTTGGAATTTAGGCAGTGCATTTTTGTCTCTCATGGTTGGTTTAAAATTGCATTAAAATTGCATTAAGGCAATGAAGGATTATTGATCACTATCAAAATAAAATATCTATTTACTCATATATAAAGAATTGAGTAAGCAGGAGTGTGAGCAGAAAATTATAGTGTTCACATATGGGGAAGTGATATTCTAATGTATCCTGGCATAACAGGGCTTGAACAGGAATCTTACAACTGGAAGCAAGTTTGACTTCCCAAGGGATATGGTTCAAAGTTTGCCTTAAAGGAAAACTATTTTCATTTCCTGAGGAAAAACATCTTATCTGGACGATTTTTTTAACCTTAAGGAAACAAAAAACACATTTACCAACTCAGAAATTTTACTATGTTTTACTATGTCTGGTTTACTGTCATATGTAATGTGTTTTCTGGTCTTTTTCTTGTTACAGAAGCAATAACATGTAAACTTATTTTTTTGTTTGTGGGTTTTTGGTTTTTTTTGTGTCACCTTTACCTGCTCAGAAGGCTAAACCATAGTTTTCAGTCAAGTAAATGGTCCCGTCAGAGCCATTCAGGTCCCTCTCCTGAGCAGAGCTTCTCAGGGCTGCTGTTTATGGAATGTATAAAATAGAAGCCTCTCTGAGTCTCTCAGAGAAAGAAAGGAATGCAGAGATTGAATTAGAACTTTAGAGAAACTAAAATATATTAGGCCACATAGACGTGAAGTAAGAGTGTAAGATTTAGTTGTAAATAAGTAGAAATATATTTTAATTGCCTTAAGAGACTCTATTAGTTAGTAAAAGGCCCTAAAGCCTAGTTTAAAGCTCAGTAGTGTTACCTTTCACAAAATGAACTTAGTTCCAGACATAATGAAAACATAACAGAACGTTGCTTACATTTCTAGATAGAACAGGTAGAACCATTTGCATGAACAGATAGATATTTACAGAGAATTTGAGTAAAAACTGGTGCTGCTTTCACACATTAGAATGAAGATCAAATTGGTTCAGGAAAAATGTTTTAGGATCATGTTTTTAGCTAATTAGATGATTTATAAATAAAATCTCCCTGTATTGGGATGCAAGAAGAAGATGATGAAAAGAAAGAAGAAAAAAAGATGAAAAAGAGAAGAGGGAGGAGGAGGAAGAGGGAGGAAGGAAAAAGATGGAGAAGATGAAGATGAAGATGAAGACAAAGATGAAGATGATGAAGATGAAGATGAAGATGAAGATGAAGATGAAGGAGATGAAGATGAAGGAGATTAAAATTAAGATGAAGAAGATGAAGAAGATGAAGAAGATGAAGAAGATGAAGAAGATGATGAAGAAGAGGATGAAGATGCATATGAGGAAGATGAAGATGAGGAAGATGAAGATTAAGATGAAGATGAAGAAGAAGATGATGAAGAAGATGAAGAAGATGAAGAAGATGAAGAAGATGATGAAGAAGAAGAAGATGATGAAGAAGAAGATGAGGAAGAAGAAGATGAGGATGAAGAAGATGAAGATGAAGATGAAGAAGAAGATGATGAAGAAGATGAAGAAGATGAAGAAGATGAAGAAGATGATGAAGAGGATGAGAAGATGAAAAAGATTAAGATGATGAAGATGATGAAGATGAAGATGTAGAAGATGAAGAAGAAGGTGAAGATGATGAAGAAGATGAAGAAGAAGATAATGAAAAATAAGATGAAGGAGGTGTGGGAGGTGTTGCTGCTGCTGCTGCTTGGAACATCGGGACCCTATGCCAGAAAGCTTTTAGCACAGATTTCAATACTCTGAACTCTTCACCTTCAAGGCTGATGTATTCATGCCATGAACAACTTCACAGCAACCAACAACTGCTCTTGTCTCTTTGAAGACCCAAAACCCACACAAAACTCAACAGCTGTGGTGCCAGCAGGGCTGTGCACATCACCAGGCACAGGAGCTGTCTGGAAGAGCCTCCTGAATGACTGCCTCTGCCTGAGGGTTTCAGCTTGAGCTGCCATGATTGCCACCAGGAAGGAATTGGCTTTTCTGTGCCTGTTATGTCACCCTAAGTTACAGCCTAATTGTTCTGCCCAAAGAAGTTCAGATGAGTCATTCAATATTGCTCATTTCCTGTCACTACCAATGTGGGAAGAGGTGAGAAAACCAAGGGTAGAGCTGCACCTACTGTAGATGCCTGAAGTCATGTGAAATTTATTCTGCCAGATAGTTATTGACTCAAAAGATCAATGACACAAAAAGCTGGATTAGGTTTTGATTCTAACTCCATTCTTGTTAATATTCAAGGAAGTATAATCTGTGTGAAAATTAATGGGAAATGAATCACTGCATTATAACAAGAGAAGTAGGAACACAGACCCAGTTGTATAGAAATTTGATTTGTGCTGTATACTGAATGCAGTCCAGGGGCTGCAGTACCTCACGTGAAGGATAAAAGTGAATGTTTTATAGACCCTTTTATACTTAACATAGGCAGTAACATTACAAATGCAGTTCTTGTGAATTTATTTTTCAATCCACTATAAACACATTCTGAAACCTGGTTTTCAATTCAATATAAAACTAAGAAACAAAGGACCTAAGTGTGAGTCATGTTTCTTAAGAACATTCCTTTCTGTTTTATTCAAAATTCCATTCAAAATCCTATTCTTTTACAACCCTGACTGGTTATTTTGGACAGGTAAGTCCAGAAACCTTGACACAGCTTCAGGAAGACATAAGTGTGTGAGTATTCCTACAATTCTGAGCTGCTAGAAAAGGGAAATGCTCCTGGAAGGACATATATTTAATAAGCAAATTAGAAAGTAGAGACTAGAAGATGAATTATTCTTTCTGAGTTTTAATTGTTCTTGCTGCATCTCTCAGCATTAACTCAGCTTCTCCCTCAGCCATCCCTGTAAAACACAAAGTCCCCACATTCCTTCCCTGGTTTTGAGACAAGAAGAATAAAGACATGGCAGTGACACATAAACTCCTGTAAATCTTTTGATTTTACAACTGAAACATAAAGGGGCACACCTCAGTGAAAGTACTCCTATAGGGTAAATATAACTGAGTTATAGCCCAAAACTAAATCCCAAAGCAACACTACTTGTAACAAACATGATGGAGCTGATGAGTTT